TGTACATTCCCCGTATCAGCTTATACTCTAAGGAAAGTGATCTTCCATTTAAATTGTGCCGTCATCAATTTCCTGTGGTTCCTGCCTTCGCAATGACAATCAACAAGTCGCAAGGTCAAACCCTCAGTAGAGCAGTACTGTGCTTATTTAAGCCAGTTTTCGCACATGGGCAGCTATATGTAGCATTCTCCCACGTACGCTCACCCCAGAATCTTACAATCTGTCTTCTCCCTCCCGAACCCCCTACTGCACAATCTGCTCCCACTACGCTTAACATCGTTCACAGAGAAGCTTTGACAACTCTATCTACCTAACCTCAGTCATATAATAACGGCCTTCCTTATCACCTAAAACCCTCTTCGTTCCCTATCAACATTACTATATAGATTTCTTTTCCGTCTCTCTCTTTTTTATTGTACATAACATTACACAGAATGCTTTTCATTCAACCTGTGAGATGGTGATAACGAAGTAGGGGTTTCGGGTTTTAGGGTTATCTTGACCATGCTTAAATAGTAATATCGTGTATATATTCTGATACAGCCTCTGCTCCAAAACGACTGATTCAGCCTTGCTCTGGGCAGCCACTGGGGGGTTTGGGGGGCTTGCCCCCCAATAAAGGGGGTCTGGGGGAAGCCCCCAGCGAGCCGCCGAGCCGTAGCTCCGGAGGTGTTGACCCGAAGCGAAGCGGAGGGGCTCAACACCGTAGGTGCGAAGGCGACAAAGGCTCGTGTCAGAAATAATAAAAAAAGAGACTTACGATGCTTCCAAAACGTCGATTATTTGTAGAAAAGGTGAGTCGGTTTTTTTTCTGATTTCTACCACCTTTTGTTCTGCAAGGTAGATCAATGCTTGTTGGGTTTCGTGGACATGATCATCAACACCGTCGGTCTTGGCTTTTCCTTTCAAAACCTATAAAGGATATAGGGGTGTCAATATTTGTCTCCTTCTCCAATATCCAATTTATTACCACCTTCTTTAATTCTTTTAGTAGCTAGTGCTTTCATAGAAAATGGAGCAGGTACAATAACTGAACATGTATTTCAGCTAAAACTAAGATTCTTTCTATTAATTTAGGATCTTCTTTTTTAATTTGACTCATAATTTTTCGAGTTTCTTCATTATGCATATAACCTTGACTAGAATGAGCAAATTTAAAAATATTATAAATAGGTTTTAATAAATTAATAGAATTAATTTTGAAGTTTCCATCTGGTGGAGGACTACCAGATCTTTCAATAGAGTGATAATACATTCTTTCACACATTTCTCTCATTTTTTTTCTTTCTTCATAGTTATGATTCATCATCTCACCTAATCCATAAGTAGCAAAACCACCAATAGTACCAACAACACATAAAAATTTAGGAGTTGGATACGTTTTTAATTTTAATATGTAATAGAAATGTGAAAAAGCCAACAACATGGGGACAATCAGCAATGGTTAAAAATTATTCTAACATGAATAATTTTGAAGCTATTCAGAGACTAAATAATCTTTTAATTTCAGCTACTTGTTCATCTCCCGCGGCTTGGTTTACTGATTCCTATAAATAAGATAATTCATTCAGGTATTATAAATAATATTAGATATAAACTTGTATATAACTATATGTAAAAAAAAGAATTTCCCCTCTCCCCTGGTACCTTGAAAATGGACTTTCTCTTAACCATTTATTAAAATGGTTATCACATATAGTCTCTGAGGAATTATTTTCCTGCTGATAACTCACTTTATACACTTAAAATTATTACTTCCCCCTTCGGGGGAAACCCGTTATTTCATTAAGAGATTGGAATAATTTTGTATTATAGGACATCTTCTATTAAATAGGGAAGGGTGCTTACGATTTCAATCCCAGCTAAAATCCAGATTTGGAAATCTCACTTTGTAACGGCCATGCTTTTTTAACGTTACATGTTCCTGAGAGACTTGGGTAAACTTCAACTTTGTGCCGTCTTCCTAGACTATTACCATATTGCATTTCTCAATATGAGTTCCCAAGAGGTGTGCTACTTGATATCATCTGCCATCAACGACATTTGAGGTCTTTCTGTAAAAATCGTTGAGCATTTTCCACCGTTAGCCGGGATTCTGACAGACTGCTCTAGATGAGCTACAAATTTACTAACTACTTTTTTTCTGCACATTTCTCGACAAAGCAGTCGACCGATCATGCCTGTCACTGTGGCTCGGATCGCAATGAGCCATGTCTAGTGCATTCTCGCAGTGTTTCAGTAGAATAGGCAACGCATATTTTAACTATGTGTATTTGAATATTACTGCTGCAGCTGTTTGCTAATAAAGCTACAGATAGTTCGTTTTTGTAAAAACTTTTGTGCCTACGTTCTGTATCTGTGGCTCGAGCACCCATCGTAGGCGGTAGGCGTAATCATAGAGAATGCCCACTTAACCCTATCAACTGCGGTACTGTGTACTTACTAATTTTTTGGTGATAATGCAATTTTGCTGAAAAGATTACATACAAACCTCCTCCAATACTCGCTATAGCTACTACCTTGCCACGATCACCTGTGCATATGATCAATAGTTCGCCTCCACCAACTTCTCCTGCTGTCGCTGCCCCACCTTTTAGAGCTTCGGGTTTAGAGTGGGGCAGCGCCCTAACGGGAGGGTCAGCGGGAGGGAACGTCCTGCAAATATAATTATCAATGTCATATTAGCAAAAGCATCTAGACCGTAACAGATAATAGAATTTCGGGTCTTTGCTTTGGTAAGTGAGTAGGGCGATCAAAGCGAGCTTTGTTTAGGGTGTACGGTCACATCTTTAGTAGGTAGAGCGAACAAAGCGTGCTTATTTTAGGGTGTAACAATCACATTTTTAGTAAGTATGATAGAGCGAACACAACGGCCCAGGTTTAGGGTGCAACAATCACACCTTTCATGATGTCCCAGAATTTCCACCTCAACAATTGTCCAATACCCACCTCTAAGATTCTGACCTGTAAATTTTACGAAGAAACTGAACACGATCTGTTCAGTTGCAAGGATTGCCCAGGTATTGGACATGAATCGTCTGAGAGTTCAGAGTGCATTAACTCAAGTAGCTGACACAGTAATCAGCTACATAATCTTAATCTGAAAGAGGTATTGCCTTTAGGCATTTTTAGTGCAGTGACGACAATGACTTCAAGACCAAAATTATAAAAAACACCATTCTCACTCCTGTCAAGCAGAACAAATTTTCAGCATTGTTTGAAGGTAAAAGGGGGGTGGTAGGGGGCATTGCCCCCACCTGGGGTCTGGGGCAGAGCCCCAGTAAACTGGTCCCTGGAGGACAGATGCTAACACGCAGCGAAGCGGAGGGGCTCACATCGTCCGGAAGCGAAGCGGAGGGACCAGTTTATAATTTTCAAAGACATCTTTACCTCTATCAAATTGATACTCATATAAAACATTGATTTCATAATTAAATTCTTTAGATTGTTTTAATTCTTCAGAAAAATACCATCCTTTCCATGATCCTAAAGGACAATACATTTTTTCATTATCTCTGTAAGGTAAAGTAGGAATAAATAAATTATCTGTTGTTTTAATTTCAGCATAAACAAACCAAAGTAATCATCTAAATTTGTATTACTACTAAATCTTGGTTTTCCAATAGGCATATCATTTAACATTGAGAAAGGATATAATATTAAATTTTGTGTTAATCTAATGTTATCTCAAAAACATCTTACTGAACAAGGACGAGATAATATTGAAATAATTAAAGCAGGAATGAATAGAAAACGAACATTATATAACTAGGATCATTTAGAAAAATGGTATGATTTATTTTATGATTCAGATGATGATTTAGAATCTGATTCTGAATCTGAGGATTCAATTATGGCGGTATAATCTGGAGCTATTTTCAATCTCATTGAGCAGTATTGTTATAACCAAATGATTAATGAGATTTTTGATCCTTAACTTAAGATATTGTTGTTTATGAGTGGTCTAAAGGAGCTTTAAAATTTACTAAAGATCCTTCACTTTCAAAAAATCAACCTATAAATATTACTTTTTAAATAAGGTCATAGTACTTAGTATTATATGGCCCCCTTAATCCACTCAATTACAATATTGTCTGTGTTATAATATATAAGTGGACAAAATATAGATAACAACTAATAGATAATAACTAAATAAACTATTACCTAAATTTTTACATAAACTAGGGAATAATAAATTTAAATAATGTTAATTAGTCATTATTTATTTAATGAATAGAATAATAACTTACTTAATATGACAAACATTGATTTATATACTTATTTAAACGAATTAAAACCTGAGTACATTTATTTAAACAGTTCAACTGAAAAATTAAAAATATTAAAAGAATTAAAATATATTTCTGGAATTTATCTATGGTACAATCCAGGTCAAGGTCAGCGATGCAGCTATTGGCCTAGGCTAAATCACATCCATCCAAATCCATAACTCAACACTTACCTTGATTGTATGATCAAATATGGTATTGGTGCTAGAGTCGAATTCATGAATATGGTGTGGTAGTGTATCCAGATTATCCCAATCATCTGCTTTGAAGCAACGTTTCATGTACGTTGACACCCAATCGTGAGCCTTGTCAACGATTCCGCATAAAGAGATACTATTCGTAAAAAGCATGCATATCCAAACGCTTCAGTGTTAGGGTAGATATAGCATATATATAGAAAAAAACACACTGAAGTATCTGCTCTAATATTTCATCTTGAAGGGGCCAATTCTGCAACAGGCACAAAGACAAAGCATTCAGACGATCCATGTTTGTCTCCACTTTCTTTAGTAATATTTGATCCTTTTGTTCCGCCTTTGCTTTCAGAGGTATTGTATTCATCTATTATCAAATAGTGTTGTTAATAAGAATCCTTAACGATGTAGATCACGAAAAAGAAAAATTAGTTAAGGGTTTAACTTACCAAATCGAATGCTTTTTGGAAAAGTTGCTGTCGTATCTTCATCATAATGCAATCTTGATCTGCCTTTTCTTCATCATTTTCACCGTTATCTGCTTGATGTCTTTCATGTACATCGTCATCAATTTTAGAAGGATTCAGTCCACCACGTTCAGTATAATTATTGTCGTCTTGATAATTAAAGATCTCTCCTACTTCTCCTTGAGTGGACTAGTCATTTCCTGTCGTTTGGGCGTGCTTGAGCTACTTTCACCAACTTGCTCAATAGATCTTTTAGCCCCCACTAGTTCTTGTGTTTGGTTTGTCATTTTTTCAAGGGTAGCCACTGCAAAACATTCCTACATAACAACAAATCCAACCAAATGTGAATAACCATAGCTGGGTACACCGAAAACCGCAAGGTGATCATATACAAACCTCAGCAACAGCTCGCTTTCTCTTCATGGCTTTCTCTTCACTTTCTACCAAGGCCTCGCTGACAACTTGTTCTCGCCAAAAGTGATTATTGATTTTGTCCTTGCCAATGGCTAACAGTATAGAGAAAAAAAGCAAGTCAGCGTTTGTTTTGAAACATAAAGATGGACTACACGACTTACTTTTCAGATCGTTTTTCATTTGTTTTAGTCGTAAGCAGCGGCGGCTTGCCTTGTCTTTCAAAGCTTTCAAAATTATGTTGATGTCGTACGTGAGGTCAAGGTGGGCGTTCGCTTTTGTAATACCAGGATTCAATTTGACTGCAGCAGCGTCGAAACTTTGGATAGACCACTTTTGCCATTCTGTTTCGATCCAAAACGCTATTGTGAAATAACATAAATCTTTGAATATAAGTTCTATCACTACCCACAATTCGATAAAAAAAAGCTTACCATGGACACTTAATTCATCTTTTAAACTCTCAAGAACTTGAACGTCATTAGGCACTTCTTTTTTCTTTTGCCTGGGATTATTTTGTGCAGAGGCCTGTGTCATTTTTAGGATGAAGTTAAAGTAAACTGTTGGGGCTGCGGAAAAGTTGGGGCTGCGAAGAAGTGTGTCAAATATGCAAGATTTCCTGACCCGTTTAAATCTTAAACCTCGTCGGCGAATTTTATCGAGTCTGCAAATGTTCCAGAAACATCTTGTAGGGGAAACAAGACAATTGGGTTTCCTCATAAAATAGATTATTAGATGATGCCGATAAAAAGATATAAAAGGTAAGATATGATGATAGTGCTGATTATTTTCGAATATGATAAAACAAACATCCATGTAATCGGTTTACTTTTTAAAACCATCAACATCATCTTTATGCGATAACTGTTGTTGTGTCCAAGAATATTCGTCCGCGGCGTCCTCGGGAGGCGTTCTATACTACGTTTCTTAGCCTGTGGTGCTTTTAGTACTGTAATCGCACAAATCCTTTTTCCATGCGTTTGATACTTTATTGTGGAATACGCAAATACAAGGGGTTGTGATGGGAAGGGGACGCAGTGACATACGTGTTTGCGACTACATTCGGAAAGCTAGTAAAAATTACATCGATGACTTTATTGTAATATGATGAACAGAAAAATAAAATGAAATCAGAAAAATTGTTGCTATTGCTTTTATTATGTATATGATATCATATTTGCATGACTATAATTATAATTCCGTTTTGAAGTTTGGACTTTATATTACGTCTTAATTTGAACATAGCGGCCAGGGGAAGACATGCTTGTTCGAGACAGGTCAAAGAAGAATAGGGAGATGAAAACCCTGTGAGTGAGACAGCTAAAAGGTCATGGGGAAGTCGCTTGGGAGCATGTTGTTGGGTTAGCCGTAGACATGTAATAGAAAGAATAAGGCTGCTTACCTAGCTTGCTGCAGGTAGAGGATTGATCCAGTTGAGGGCCAGGGAGTTGATGGGCGTCGAGTTTTGCTAATATTATGCACACAACTAGCCATGCCGTTTGCAGCTGTTGGATGCGGCGGACTGGAGTTGGTTTCGATTGCGGGAGCTGATTGAGGAAAGAGGACAATGGGTCTGTGGTTTGGGGCGGTGCGGTGTGGAGGCGAGCGTGCATTCGAAGGCAGGCTATTGCATGCAGTGTGTCTGATTCTAGGTCGAAAGAAATTCCTCGTAAGAATTTCTTGAGACCGTCAGAACAAAATAGGAGATGTTATTATTCTAATCCAGAGAAAGAAAAGACTCGACAGCATCATGAAATTCGTCGTCATTTGAGAGCAAGAGGAGAAGGGGTGCGGGCCAAATCAGAGGGATAAAGGAATGCTGCCATAGCCAAGAGAAAAACGAACTTTTGTTATAATGACTTGATAGAGGAAGACGATCTTGATGGAATTGAACGGGCACGTTCCAAAGCAGGAGCCACATCGATTTGAGGTCGGTGAATGGAGACGGGAGGAGTCTATCTGAGCAACAGACACGAGGTGATGATGTTGTCTTCGCCAAGACGTTTACCATCAGTGTGTAAATGGGTTACCGCTGCGCGCATCGTCTTGAGGGTTGAAGCCTGTAGATTGTGTTCTTGTCGCATATCCGCCAAGAAGTGCATCAGATTGGCAGACGTGAAAGGTGTATGGGAGACTTGCTTGCGATTAGCCTAAGCCAAGAACCGAAGTTGCTATTTACGATAGAGCCTATCATATTGGTGTTGTTGTTGGGCAACCTTTTAATTAAGAGATTTTCAACCACTTGTGCATTGAGATTCTTGGTTACCAAGTTTTGCCGGACAATTGTCAGACGGAAAGCATCCAATTCTACGGTAGTAACGGGTGTGGCGTCCATGGGGAGGTCGTCTGGATGGAATGTGGGGACAGTATCCAAGGAGGGCATAGAGTCATTTGATGGTCTCTCTGAAACCAGATGGCGCTCGGCCAGTACGGGACCACCAGCGTGACCAGAGGAAGTTGCTCTTGAAGAATCTTGTTGATGACTCGAGATATGAGATTCCAGGGTGGATTTACGAAAGGATGATGGAAACTCTTCCATGGGACGGAGAACGCATCCGTGTGGAGAGCATCTGGATCCAGTATCCAGGAGACGTACTTTTGCAATAATTTGGTCATCCTGCCTGCAAAGTAGGGGTCGCAATTGGACGGGTCAAGACTGATTTCAATGTAGTGATGAAGGAAGTGTCGATCAGCCTGAACTTGAGTGCTGGAAGTGCAAAACTCCATATATATATAGCTCTCTAAGATGATGGCACGCAAATTCCTAGAAGTGCTAGCAACATCTACGTTTTGAGTGATTATTCTTAAAGGTAAAGAGTTCTGTGCCATCACAAAAGAAATCGCTTGGGCTCACATGCTTTAAAGAAAGCATAATATTTAAAGTGTGGTTGAAAATCGACTTCCCTATATGCCCCTTATCCTTTTCCCTTTTCCCCTTTCTTTTCACTTCTTTCTTCTTCCTTCGATTTTCTTTTCTCAATTCCTTTTCTGTCTTTTGTTAAATCGCGTCTCTTACTGCCACCCTCTATTGTATATTCTTATTGCACTATTGCTACTTCTTTACTCCTATCATATATATTGCTTAGAGCATCTCCAACGGTCGTTCTAAAATTTTTCTAAAATGGAACGCCGCTATCCTAGCAGGACCATAGAATTGGCATGGTTTTTCCAACGGTCGCGCTATTCTAAAACTGGCTATTGAATTTACTGCTCTGCTCTTTCTACTTCAACCACTCATCACAATGTCAAGCCAAAATATTCGCAACCTAAAACAAATGTTCGATGAAGACATCGAGGAAGAACGCCAACGTCAGCGCAGAGTTGAGCGTCTTCAGAGAATCTTTGCAGCTGATGACCAAGACGACGATCAAGTGAGAAAACCCAGAAAAGGCTCTGTTCCTGGTCATCTCGTCATTAACCGCCATCGCGTTGGAGGTCATTGGCGTTTATACAATGACTATTTTGGCGACAATCCTGTTTACCCGGAATACAAGTTCCGTACTCGTTTTCGCATTAGTCGTCGGCTTTTCGAACGGATCGTAAAAGCGAATTGGAGCAGAAAGATGCCTTCTTTCCGCAGAAGTACGACGCGGCTCATACGCCTGGATTGACACCGCTGCAGAAAGCGACGGCAGCAATTCGCCAACTGGCATATGGCGTATCTGCCGATGCGACCGACGAATATGTTCGCCTAGGTGCAAGCACTGCTCTTGAGTGCTTAAAGCGCTTCTGCTTGGCAATCAGCCGCATCTTTGGTGACGAATACCTGCGCTCACCAAACGAGGATGATATCAAGCGGCTTCTTGATATGGCGGAAAAACGCGGATTCCCTGGCATGCTCGGTTCCTTGGACTGCATGCATTGGGAATGGAAAAACTGTCCTGCCGGATGGAAAGGCCAATATCAAGGCAAAGAGAAGAAAGCTACAGTAATCCTTGAGGCTGTAGCAGACTTCGAAACATGGATCTGGCACGCGTTCCTCGGTCTCCCGGGTACGCTGAATGACATCAATGTCTTGCAGCGTTCCCCCATCTTCGATGATCTGGCGTCTGATGTTACGTCACCCGTCAACTTTTCTGTCAATGGCCACAACTACACCAAAGGCTATTATTTAGTTGATGGTATTTACCCGCCGTGGGCTACGTTTATGGATTCAATCACGCATCCGATTGAGAAGAAAAAAAAGGTAAATTTTAACAATGCATATGGAGAGCAGCAACTCTAACTACTTATATAGTTGTTTGCCTGTATGCAAGAAGCGTACCGTAAGGATGTCGAGCGTGCCTTTGGGATCTTGCAAAGTAGATTTGCTGTGATTCGACACCCAGCAAGACTATGGCAACCCGACGATCTGTCAATGGTTATGCGCGCATGCATAATCTTGCATAACATGATTGTTGAAGATCAGCGCTGCAATCCAGGAGAGAATGTTGCTGATGACAACGAAGCCGAAGTATTGCGAAGTGTTGGATCGGCGCCCATTTTGACAGTTCGCAGGGATCCAAACACCATGAGCGAATACTTGCATCGCTATGATGAGATCAAGGATGTCGCGGTCCACGATCAACTGAAGAACGACCTCGTTGAGCATTTGTGGCAGCACCAAGGCAATATGATCTAGTAAAAGACAAAAGATATTTTTTATTTATTGTTTTCTATTACTCGTCAACTTCGTCGTCGGTAGTCTGTTGAACTTCTACGTCCTGGACAATGGCTTTTGCGATTCTGGCCTTTGCATTGGCCAAAGCCTCGCCTTTTCTCAGCGTCCAATACTCGAGTTCAGCTCCTGAGTATCTGTCGAGCTGTTCTCGCATCACTTCATCGTCGTTCATTTTCTCCTGGAGCTCGATGCGCCTGCGGCTGTTCTGGACATGCTCCTCTTCAGCCTTCGCCAATCGAGCGCGATCATCGTCCAATTTACGCTTGCGCGTTCCATCCTCCTTCTCTTGCTCCTTGGCTTTCTTGCGACCGATTGGGCGCTTCACATACTCAGGTGCGCTTTGATTTGTCACATTGACATACTTGTTACTGAACTTTGGTTGCTCATGAAGCTCATTGTAACAGTGTTGAAACTTCCAAGCAGATTTCGCAGCTTTCTTATACAGCGTTACTGCGTAGTCTTTCTTCACTCCCATATATTCATCAGTACTGGTATCGTATCGTTTATGAAAACTAGCATCCCCTAACCTCATTTTCTTCGTTGTTTCTGCTTTTATTTCGCGCAAGAGCTTTTGCAAGACAACCGCAGTATCTAGACACCTCTCTTTGGATGGTACCCCAGCGGCCCGAGAGGGCTCCCTGGCCAGTTCATACATCCTTATCTCCCCCTCTTTGAAGAAAGTCTTTGTAGATAGTCTCCCACAATATTTGGAGGGGAACATCGGTACCCTTTGACGAACGAGTGGAGGTGGCAAGCCAGGATTGACACAACCACACATCCTCTTCATTGCTCCAGCTCGGACCGCGATTGCCAGCTTTTGCTGCTGCTGCTGTCGACGATTCTGCGACAACTTCGGGAACGGTGGTCGATTCGACACGAGATTCGACATTAGTGATGGGGATCGGGGCAGAAGAACTGGAAGACATTGTTGTTGGAAAAGGAAGTGATTTATAAAGAAGAGAGAGCTTTATTTTACTGCGTACAACAATGCGATTTTATTTTAGAAAACTTGCCCTAATTTTGGGACGCCTATTCTAAAAAATTTGACC